TGAAGTACTTGCTGCTCTTTGATTGAGAGATGCTCATTTTGGATCTTTGTCTCAGCTGCTCCCTCGGCCTACACCACTCTCCTGACTGGCTCCTACTCAGGACAGATGCTTCCTTTCCTAATGTGCAAGATCTGTGTTCCAAAGTGCCCACATCTGCCTGGCTGGTGTGGCGCAGTGGTTAAGCATCAACCTATGAACTAGGAGGTCATGGTTTGATTCTTGGTCAGGGCATCTGCCCGGGTTGCCAGCTTGATCCCCAGTGGGGGGCATGCAGGAGGCAGCCAATCAATGCTTCTCTTTCATCATTGATGTTTCTTTTTTAAAAAATATATTTTATTGATTTTTTACAGAGAGGAAGGGAGAGGGATAGAGAGTCAGAAACATCGATGAGAGAGAAACATCAATCAACTGCCTCCTGCACACCTCCTACTGGGGATGTGCCCGCAACCAAGGTACATGTCCTTGACCGGAATCGAACCTGGGGCCTTTCAGTCCACAGGCTGACGCTCTATCCACTGAGCCAAACTGGTTAGGGCATAATTGATGTTTCTATCTCTCTCTCCCTATCCCTTCTTCTCTGACATATATATATATATATAATCTCAACATCTATCACAGTACAGCAAACTGATATTATCATCTGGCTATGTTATCTATCTTACTCTGAACTAGAAAATAAACTTTGTTTGTATGTCAACTTGGTTAGGTTATAGCCCCTCAAACACTAATCTAGGTGTTGCTGTGAGGGTATTTTGTTAATTCCTAATCAGTTAACATTAAGTAAGGAAGATTTTTCTTGATAAACTGGGTGGGCTTGGCTGAATCCCTTGGAAGGCTTTTAAAGGAGGTCTGAGTTTTCCCTAAAAGGGAGAATAAATTTGCCTGTGGATGAGAGCTTCAACCTGTGCAATGGAGTTTCTTCCTGCCTGAGATCTTTCCCACTGATTCTAGTTTTCTGATTGAACACTCGCTGATGAACATGGGTTCTACCTTTTGTGTGTGTTGTGCATGTCCTATGCAAAACCCAGTGCCTGGCAAACAATATACACTCAGTACACTTTAATATTTTTTAATTTTTATTGAATTTTTGGGGGAATGACACTGTTAATAAAAGTATATAGGCTTCAGGTATACAATTCTGTAATACATTATCTGTATATTGTATTATGTGTTCACTACCCCATAATATTTATTCCCACTTTACCCTCTTCTACTTCCTGGCACCTCCTTTCCCTCTGGTAATCATCATACTATTGTCTGTATCTTTGAGGTTTCTTCCCTTCCTTCCTTCCTTCCTTCCTTCCTTCCTTCCTTCCTTCCTTCCTTCCTTCCTTTTTCTTTCTTTCTTTCTTTCTTTCTTTCTCTTTCTTTCTTTCTTTCTTCTCTCCTTAATCCCTTCATCTCTCACCTGTCAGAATGGCTATCACCAACAAAGCAAAAAAATGAGTGTTGGCCAGAGGTGGAGAAAAGGGAACCATTGTGCACAGTTGGTGGGAATGCAGGTTGGTGCAGGCACTGTGTACAGCAGTATGGAGTTTCCACAAAAATTAAAAATGGAACTGTCTATGACCCAGTGATTCCACTTCTGGGAATATATCTGAAGAAACCCAAAACACTAATTCAAAAGAATATATGAACTCAGTACATTTTTAAATGAGTAAAAATGAAAGAATAAATCAATTTCAAAATAGCCAAGACTTCTGTCAGAAACTAACCGCTGAGAGCTGTTGGAGAAAATTACGGAGGTCAATACTGCAAATATGTGTGCTGTCTAACTTCAATGGAGCCATACAGATTGCTCAGGACATTTTTGAATGTCTCAACTATTCCCTCTCCAATTCTCTTCAGTGAAAAGTTGCTTTATTTCAATTATGTTCCTCAACAGTCTGTGACCCTTCTAATTCACACCAAAAAAATAAATAAATAAATAAGGAGAACCCTAGGCATGAAATCCTTTACCTAAAATCATACTCATATACCCAATTGCACTTCTTTGTCCCAAGTTCTAAAAGAGGTAGTTTTTCTCCTTTAGTCCAAGCATAAATCCCAAACCTTAATTTATCCATTCTCTTATCTTCTATAAAATTTTCCTTTCTCGGTTACACTCCCATCTTCTGTGTCTGTGTGGTTTTCCTTATAATCTCTTTCTACTAAAATGATAAAGACTTTGTTCTTTTTGTCTATCCCATACATTGCTCCACTGAAGTGTTTCTTAGTTAAGTAAAAAGCAACCTTCTAAAATAATGTACTTATCTCAAGAACACATAATTAGTAAGAGCAAACTCCTTTCCAAAAAAAAAAAAAGAAAGTACATACTCATTGCAGCATTACTCACACGAGCCACGAGGTAGAAGCAAATAAACGACCATCAATGGATAAAGAGAATATGGTACATACACACAATGGAATATTATTCAATCTGAAAACTGAAGGAAAGTTGGTCACATGTTACATCATGTACGAAATTTGAGAACATTATCATAAGTGAAATAAGCCAGTCACAATAGGACAAGTATAGCATGATTCTAAATATATAAAGTACTTAAAATAATCAGACTTTTAGAAGCAGGAGATACAATAGTAGAGGGCTGAGAGGGGGAAAAGAGGTGTTGTCCCCTGGATAAAGAGTTTCAGTTTTGCAAGATGAAAAAGTTCCTTGCACAACAATGTGTGAAGAGTTAACATGAGCACTTGAGATAGTTAAGATGGTAAATTTCATGTTATGTGTTTTTACTATAACAAAACAAAAAGCAAACAAAAGGAAACCAAAGAAACTAAGTGCTGTGCTGTTTGTTCACACGGTATCTAACTCAACTAAAAAAATAAAGAAAGCAAGATGCATCTATGGAGGTCTATTAGTTTGTGATATACCTCTCACAGAGAGCTTTCTGTGAAAGAACAAATGCACCATTAGGGCCAGTTTCCTTTGGATTGCATCTTTCTTAGAAGTGATGAGCCACTGTTATCACCTACGACACTTGCTCCAAAAAAAGAATACCATGGATGTTAGAGGTTGGGGTCTACCTCATTTAAAAGCCAAGGAAATGTTATCTGTCTTCTCAAATATCCAGATTTTCTGAATCAAACCCCTTCTTGTATTCCCCTATCTGTGTCTGCTGCTAGTCACAGACAACTTCCTGAAGTGTTCCTCAAACTATCCCCCATCTCCGTAATCTTGTTTCTCACCTTTAGAACAGAATGACTTAACTGAAGCCACACGGAGAACAAAAGTGGGGTTGGGAAGAGCAAATCTGGAGAGTGATGGCAGTGTACCCATTGGTTATGGACATGCGGTCCCCTTCGCTTTCAGGCAAAGGTATGAACCAAAATTAGGTTCAGGTAATTACTACTACTGAAGCCCACACACATGTTAATACACCAAAGGACCAAGGAACAAAGTATTTGAATAAAATTCAAGTTTCAAAAGCCTTGGAACAATAAAGTGGGGTTCTTTCCTCCCTTTTACATTTCATGGCTTGTACACACACACACATATATTTATACAGGAGGTTTTGGTATAGGTAAGGCACGTGTCTCTGCTCGGGACTGAAAGGTTTTGTTTTTATTCTTTGAAAGTTTTAAAAATTGATTTGCTTCTGTTTATAGTCTGGAAACTTTACGGTCACTGCTTCAGATAATCAGTGGAGCGAATTTTCCATCCATTTTTGCTTCTGCCTACATTCTTCTGACTTAAATTTAGGTGCCTTCTATGGGGGTCTCTGTAGCGGTTTAACTCCTCAGCAATCCCGGTGAGTGGGGTGGTTTTTCCTGACCAGGATGCAAGGGTGGTTTCTTTCCCGGGTTCTTGTCCAGGTGGATTCGAAGATGAAGCCACAGACCAAAGGTGGTAGATGAAAAGGGCGCAAATTTATTGGAAGCATGTGCAGACTCCCACGTGGGGAGGGGGTCCCAAAGGGGGTGATCCACCAAACTCATTTTTGCTCAGATTTATAAAGTCTGCAGTCCTCTGTCTCTTGGTGCTGCTTTCCAATTGGTAGAATATTGGCTTCAAAGCTCAAAACCCACATGGTACCTCCCCCTCCTTCTCTCCCCCTTCAGTGGTAGAATTCTCTGTCTCCTGTGAAAACCTGTTCTCCTCTTTCTTCCCTTTGTCAGCATTTCTCTGTTCCCTGTGAAAGTTTGTTTCCTCTTTCTCCCCATACCCTGTGGCCTGTCCCTGTCTTCTGTGAATGGATGTCTTTCTTTCCCCTTATCCTGCGGCACCTTTTGTTCTCTGTGACTGTATGCCTTTTTGCAGTTCCAAGCCCCCAACCAACTATGCCTTCCTCCCCCATGGACCCTCTTTATTTCTAAAATTCCCTAAACCTGCCTATTTTACCCCTAAAACTCCTTTCACGGGTATTGCTGTGAGCTTCCTTTTCTAATATTTCAGCCTTCTGAGAGTGTAATTGATGACCTTACCCACATTGACTAATTGTTGTAATAAAACCTTTAGAATATCTTTAGAATTCCTTGAGAAATCTATTTTTTTAAAATATCTGTGGCTTCTAGAAGGTATTTTGAACATCTACCCCACCTTGACTAATTGTTGTAATAAAACCTTTAGAATTCCTTGAGAAATCTATTTTTTTAAATATCTGTGGCTTCTAGAAGGTATTTTGAACATCTATTAACTTCTTGAATACTAAAATGATTATACACGAAGGTATTTGGAATCCTGGCTTCAGATTTTATTTCTTCATTATCTCAGTTTCCATAATTTCTGAAGTAAAATTGTTTTGTAGTATATTATTAAGTAATAAAGCATACTAGTGGTGGCTTACATTTATCCTGTAATTGAAAGAATAAATTCTCCCTAAAATAAGTTTGAGTTTGTTTTTTTTAAATGAAAATCAATTTGAAGCATAGGTATTTTTAAAATGATAAAAAAAGAAATAAAAATTCCAAACAAATATTTGTTTGCTTGATTTGGTTGATTTTTATCTTCTCAATGTCTAGATTTTATGCTTATTTTAATTAGGAAAGTAATTTGTAATTACCTTTATTGTAGATCTTTGTAGTCACACAACTAGATCAGTGTCCAACCCTCTATCGTACTTCATTCAATGGTAAAGATATGACAGAAGGAATCTGTAGAAAGTTCATAGTGTTAGACACAGACTGCTAATTTTACTGGCAATAGAACAAGAAATCTATACAGCTGTCATATGTCTTACTACAGCACCAATTCCTGAACAAAGCAGCATATTTTACATTTTTCTGAGGAATGTATTTTGAATATAATATTCATATAGCTCTACAGGAATAGGTGTCATCTGCCAAGAGGAGTTCATAACAAAACAAAAAACAAAAAAGGAGAATTTACTCTAGGACCTGTATACAGTTTCTCTGAAATACAAGTGATCATCATTGTGTTTGGATTTTTTTTAATGGCACCATTTTCCTTTTTTTGGCAGATGAAACTCAATTTTTCAAACAAGTCAGCCTCCATTGTCTAGTCCTAAATGTAGAGGCAGCTTTACCAGCTACAGCTGGCATGAAAGGCTATACAAATCTATTTGGCTGATTTAATTCACTTGAAAAAGCAATTTTCTAAATAACCCCTATTGGCCAGAAAGAGTTAGGGTGCTGCCAGTGGACATAAATGAGATTGTTGCTACAGGTTTCTGTACACACAAACAAGTGCAACACTGAGCTAAGCAAATGGATTAGTATGCTTTCTATATTGGTGGGCTTCCTTAATTTTGTAACCAAAATATTTATTTAAAATCTATTTCTAGTATTTTAAAAATCAAGAGTTTAAAATATTTTATCATGAATTATAATTCATATGCAGAAAAGTGTACAAAACAAGTCTATAATGCAACAAATAATCAAAGAGAAGACCCATGTCAAGAAATAGACCACAAGCAGAGAAGCCTCTTTATGTCTTCTCATTCTAATCACTTTCTTCCTCCCCCAAAACAATCACTAATATATGAAACAATAGTTTAAATGTGGCAGTGTTAGATTTTTTAAAGTAAATGAATAATACAGTGTATTCTACTATTATAAAAAATATTGTTTGAATGATTTGTTTAAATCTCCATGAAGAACATCAAGACAAAAGCCTTTATAATCTTTATAATTTTCAGATGATATATTTCTAAAGTATGAAAAAGGAATATATCTGCTGAGTTAGGAAGCATACATTAGTTGTTTGTTTTTTAACATCATAACATATGAGCACAAAAATATTCACCTCCATATAATTTTCTATTGCAATTTTTACACATATTCCTACATGAAACACAGCACTTGTAAAAGCATATCTCTTTTATTATTATTGTCTTGGTATGATCTATAGTGCCTGGTATATTGTGAGTTTTCAATACAGCTTATAAAATTGAATGTATTTGATAAGTTAAAATAATTTTCATCAAAGAACTCAGGGGCTACTTTAAAGTGGCTACTTTTACCTTAGGTGACTACAAAGATGCATACAAAACAACTATCAATATAAAATGCTATATTTTTGTTTTATTTGGTACTGAGTCCTAAAATATTAAAAATAACAACACAATAAAGAAACATACAATATAAGTCATAAATGTGAAAATATTACATAAATGTATCCAATGATATCAGCAAACATGTAATAATTTTGTTAGGATAATTTACAAATAATATATTCATTTTAAATATGATATAATATTTATTAATACTTTTCTAGTTTTGGACTATGAAAAGCACTCATAGTCACTCAAATTTATGAACTAAAGGAGTTTAAGGTTTTCCTTATCCCAGGATCAGGTTCACTGAACAAGAGCCTCAATCATCTTTTTCCGGTCTGTCTCTGATTTCTTTTGAGTCAAGATCCAGACAAGAATTATTGTTGGCAGTGTATACACACCTGCTATGGGTTATAGTGAAACCTCTAATTGTGTTTGGTTTCATTTTAGCAATCAATATACTTCAACCTATACCCAGGATATACTTAATCGTACAGGACTATTGGACAGAGTTTTGTCTCTATCTAATGGTAAAAAAATTTAACTTGGAGAAATGTTGGTTCTCAGCCCCTTTTGCTTGTGGCTCTAGTCCTTGAAAAGAAAGGTACTAGTTCATCTTTTTCTATCAATATCTAGGGTCCCTTTTCTCCTTTTTCGAATTACCCCCTACCCTCCATGTTCCCTTCTTCTATATGCAGGTCTACTTTTATCTGATCTTGGTCTGCTCTGTAAGCATATAGCTGAATCTTTCTTCACATACTTACATTTAAGTCCTTGTTTCTGCTTATCCATGGATAACTTGAAGAGAAATAACATGGCCTTAGTCAACAATGTGAAGAGGGTAAGAAAATGCTAGAAAAACAGACAGATTAATATTTAGAGGTATAATTGTGGTATGTACCTTATTTATGTACCTGAAAATCAGAAAAGACACAAAAATAGCCTATTTTATGCCTACTATGTGCCAGACAGCATGAAAAATGTGTTTACATTTAATAAGAACCACAATCCCTTAGAGTGGATGCTTATAGATGAGGAAACTAAACTTCAGAGCAGTTCATTGATTTGCCAAATGTCACATAGTAAGAAAAATAGAACTTAAACCTCAGTCCTACTGGATCTAAGCTAGGCCTCCAATTGTTTTTCTGTTTAATACTTATAATTCTATAGGAGATATAAAAATCCACATCTTAATCCATATCTTTGCTCATTTTAGATGTTATTGTGGCTTCCTTCTCACAGACTAAAGTCATTTTTCACAGGCCCGAATATCCTATTCCCTGGTGCTCCAGCCAAAAGAGCAACATAACAGGGTTGATTCTCCTACTGATCCATTTTGGCTGCCATTTCAAATGATGAATTGCACTGGAGTACCCAAGTTATTGTATAGCTATTATTTAAAAAGGGTTGTTGGACATGTAGGGAGAGGAAGACTTGTGTAGGGGAATTGGCTAATAAAAAAAGAAAAATGATCATATTTGCATTTGATAAGCCTTATTATTAGCCACACAACTTACAAAAAGAAACCTCTTCATATGTTATCTAAATATTAATAATACTAGAGGCCCGGTGCACAAAAATTTACAGGGCAATCAGGAGATTGGGGAGCTCCCCCCTATCAGGCACAGAGCAGGGCCTGTGGGGGGGGTGGTTGGGGCGCCGCAGCCTGTCACACACAGAGCCGCAGGGCAATCAGGGGATTGGGGAGCTCCCCCCTATCAGGCACAGAGCAGGGCCTGTGGGGGGGGTGGTTGGGGCGCCGCAGCCTGTCACACACAGAGCCGCAGGGCAATCAGGGGATTGGGGAGCTCCCCCCTATCAGGCACAGAGGAGGGCTGATCAGGGGGTTGGGGTGCCTTCCCCTGTCACGAACAGAGTAGGGCGGATAGGGAGGTTGTGGCCCCGCCCCCTGTCACTCACAGAGCCACAGGGCGATCAGGGGGTTTGGGCGCTGCCCCCTGTCACACACAGAGCCGCAGGGCAGTCAGGGGATTGGGGAGCTCCCCCCTATCAGGCACAGAGGAGGGCTGATCAGGGGGTTGGGGTGCCTTCCCCTGTCACGAACAGAGTAGGGCGGATAGGGAGGTTGTGGCCCCGCCCCCTGTCACTCACAGAGCCACAGGGCGATCAGGGGGTTTGGGCGCTGCCCCCTGTCACACACAGAGCCACAGGGCGATCAGGGTATTGGGGAGCTCCCCCCTATCAGGCACAGAGGAGGGCTGATCAGGGGGTTGGGGTGCCTTCCCCTGTCACGAACAGAGTAGGGCGGATAGGGAGGTTGTGGCCCCGCCCCCTGTCACTCACAGAGCCACAGGGCGATCATGGGGTTTGGGCGCAGCCCCCTGTATCACACAGAGCCGCAGGGCGATCAGGGGGTTTGGGCGCTGCCCCCTGTCACGCTGATCCCGGTGCCGGGAGCCTCGCTGCTCCGCTGATCCCGGTGCTGGGAGGCCTATTACCCTTTTACTATATAGGATAGAGGCCTGGTGCATGGGTAGGGGCTGGCTGGTTTGCCCTGAAGGGTGTCCTGGATCAGGGTGGGGGTCCCCACTGGGGTGCCTGGCCAGTCTGGGTGAGGGGCTGAGGGCTGTTTTCCGGCTGGCGAGTGACTAAAGCTTCCAACCGCTCCTTGTTTTCTTCTCTCTTTTTTTTTTTTTTTTCTGGGCCAGCTTTAGCTCTGAGGCCTCGCTGCTGAAAACATAGATACAATGTTGAGGTCTGAGCCCGGCTGAATGGAAGCCCTTTTCTGGGGTTTTGTTTAGCTTCTTATTTGCAACATAGTATATAGTTGCTTAGAGTTGCAACTGAGAGGCTGGCAAGTTAGGCGGAGAACGTTGGAATCTGCAGCAAGCAAGCCTCGTGCTCGCTTCAGTGCCTGGCTGCCGGCCGCCATCTTGGCTGACAGTTAATTTGCATATACTCACTGATTAGCCAATGAAAAGGGTAGCGGTCGTACGCCAATTACCATGTTTCTCTTTTATTAGTGTAGATGGTCATTAAGTCTTTTAATCCTATGAAAGAACTACTGCATTGTCCCCCATTTTATCTGTACAAATAAAAGGGTAATATGCTAATTAGACCAGGTTGACTGGCCATCTTCCAGATGTCCAACTTCCTTCCAGAGAAAGCCACGGTGGTGGGGGCCGAGGCAGAGGCAGTTAGGGGCAATCAAGCCAGCAGGGGAGAGCAGTTAGGGCAGTGATGGCGAACCTATGACACGCGTGTCAGAGGTGATACGCGAACTCATTTTTTTGGTTGATTTTTCTTTGTTAAATGGCATTTAAATATATAAAATAATATCAAAAATATAAGTCTTTGTTTTACTATGGTTGCAAATATAAAAAAATGTCTATATGTGACATGGCACCAGAGTTAAGTTAGGGTTTTTCAAAATGCTGACACACTGAGCTCAAAAGGTTCACCATCACTGAGTCAGGGGCAAGATCAGGCTGGCAGGGGGGTGTAGGGGAGATCAGGCTGGCAGGGGAGGGCAGTTGGGAGCAACCAGGTCAGCAGGGGAGGGCCATGGGGGGTGACCAGGGCAGCAGAGGAGGGAAGTTAGGGGCATTAGGCAGGCAGGCAGGTGAATGGTTAGGAGCCAGTGGTCCTGGATTTTGAGAGGGATTGGGCCTAAACTGGCAGTCAGACATCCCCCAAGGGGTCCTGGATTGGAGAGGGTGTAGGCCCAGCTGAGGAACACCCCACCCCCATGCACGAATTTAGTGCACTGGGCCTCTAGTAAATAATAAAACAAAATAGAAAGGGCATAAGAATAGTTTTACTGTAGTGATAACTTTAAGTCCTTTAAAGCTATTTTGGTTACCTTTACAATTTTTGCTATTTGTGTTTTAGATACCTACTTCCTAAACCTTAGGGTGTGTCTGAATCACTTGGGTATCTTATTAAAATGCAATTCTGACTTAATAGGTCTGAGGTGGGGTCCAAGATTTTGCATTCAAACACACTCCTACAGACCCTATTTTGAAATAAAAGGCTTTAGATCACTGATTTTTTTTCAATAAGCTAAGTCAAATTTCTTAACATACTAATTTATGTTAGTTGAAAATTTGCCCCGTATTAATATTTAGATTTATTAAATAAATGCTGATAGCCAGATATATTTCAAAATCAAAAGACTATTTCATAAAGACAACAGTTCCACTTACAGAAAAATAAATTTAGAAGACACACCTTCCTTTACTCTCCTTCAGTATGCTTTCTGTATATATTAAGTGCATAGGCATATACCCTAGAGCAATAAAAATAGATATCACTTATAAAGCATTTGCTATGTTCCAGAAAGTATATGAAGAGCTTTAAGTATGTTATATGACTTATACTACCAGCAATCTATGAAGTGCTATTATTATCCAATGTAGAAGCATTAACAGTTTAACTATCCAGTGTTGCTAGGACTAATTTCAGTACCTTCTGATTCAGTCCTTGTCTTGCATTTCATCTTATCTCCTCTGAATTTTGCCATATACCTATCTCACTGCTTATTTCTGCTCCATACTTTGCTTCTTGATATTAAACAAGGAGACCCTGCTGACTTAGAATCTAGGCCCAGAGGTCAAGGCGAGAGTCATAAGCAGGCTGGAGCAGACAGTGGAACAAAGCAGTCTGCAGGGGAAGAATCAAAGTCATAGTCAAGCTGGGGCTGGGCTATGTCACAGCCAAGGGGACAGCTAGTAAAGCTGTGGACAACTTCAAGGCAGCAAATGGAGTGACAGGGGCAGAATATGGCAGAGTACAGAGCAAAGAAGGGTCAAGTACATGACACTGGTTATAACAAGGATCCAGGCATACATGATAGTCTTGGTTGCTCATGTGGACTGGGTACTGGCTCTGTAATCCAGTATCACACCTGATGATCAGTAACTTAACAGGCTATGCAAGAATTAGTGATTATTGATGTTGTGACTATGGATCTGGCTCTCCATCCTATCAATGTCTCCAGAGACTGACTGAACTTTCCTGCTTTGTACAAATGCTGGAAAATGTTCCCAATCACACACTGCTCCAGGAACTACTGAATCTGTTCTAGCTTTGGATTAGTTTTCTATAACCACAAACATAGTGGCTTCAAAAATTACCAATGTACGGTGTTGTGTGTCAACCTGGTGGGCTCTAGAGAAGAGTCTGTTTTCTTGGTCAACCAGGTTATTAGCAGAACTCAGTTTCATTCCGTTGTAGGACTAAGGGCCCCATTCCTTTGCCGGTTGTCAGCCGAGAACCAGTCCCTGGCTTCTGGAGATTGCCCGCATTGTTTGGCTCATGGCACCTCACCTCCATCTTCAAAGCCAACAACAGCAGGTAGATTTATTCTCACGCTTAAAATCCTTCCTCCCTCTCCTTCTGTCACACTGAGAAAAAGTTCTCTGCTTTTAAGGATTTATGTGATTAGGCTGGGTCCACCTGGATAATCCAGGATAACTTCTCCATCTAAGTCTGCGATCTTAATCAAATCTGCAAAATCCTTTCATATATTCACATGTTCCAAGGATTAGTATGGGAACATCTCTGGGGGGTAATTATTCTGTTAACACAAGCCTGCTTTGTGGGATAGTGTTATTGCAGTCTGGCTTGTTAGCAGCAAGACAAGAACAAAGTAAGTGAAACAGAGGATGACTTTATGAAACAATATAAATCAGCCCTCAGAAGTTCCAGGAGGGCCAGGAAATTTGGTTTAGCAATGATGCTGCCAGAAATAACACCCAAACCAAACCATGACACTGCTCACAGGCTTGATTCCAGCACAGGAATTCTAACCATGTACATGGGACTCAGCATTTCTG